ATGGTAAGTATACTTAACTCACATCGTAGCTGAAATACAAAAAGCCGTAACTAATTAAAAATCCAAAATTTATTACTTTTTGATGGATTATGATGCATTTCATCGAATCATAAGTCCCCACATCGTTTTAGGCAATACAAATTTAGTTAGTTGTGATTTTTTGCATTTCAGCAACAATGTGAAATAAGCCCTCTTAAAATAGTATTAGCGATATATATGTATGTGGGAAATTTGCGTTCATTCGCCTCAAAAAATATATCAAAACACATTGAGCGCATGGAATGGAACAACAAAACAGATTTGATAGCTTATGGTACCGAGGGCGGTGAGTATTTAATTGTGACTGCCTGCAACTAGGAAGCTCAACTAACTAATAAAAAAAAACTAATTAGAAGGTATTCATTACGAACCTTCCCAAGGAGTCACCCAAAACTAAGCAAATCTGAGACCTTTACCGTCCGTGATTCCATAATTCAAATTATTTAAAAAAACGGGGTATCTTTTTAACAAAATAACAAGATTTTAAACTATATCTGCTGGCAGCCACGACTTTCAAAACAGGATTTTCTTCGAAATTTGCATTCCTAGAAACTAACAAATTTTTCAAACCAGTCATAGAAGACAGGATTAAAAATGGAGTACAAAAACTGAAATCGAAAAACGCTGATTACGTAAGAGGTTGTCCAAATTCTGAAGCAATCAAAAGAATTGATGCTCCAAATTGGAACACAACGGTGTTTAAACAACGATCTTGTCATGATACTAGATTGTGAAGATGAAAGTCAGGATACATCTGACATTTGCAGCCCCGATGCAATTCCCAAAAAGGAACTATTGCTCCGCAAAGAAAGAAACATAACTGAAAGTCCTCTCAACTGGTGCAGCGTCAATCGAAAAGAATTTACAATTTTGTCAAGTTTCAAGTTTGTCGCCTCGAGCGAATAGTTATTTAGTGGCGCAGGTTTGATTTACGACCCGTTCGGAATCAGGCTGTAACCCGAAAATGCAGCAAAATTACTCTTTCTTAAATACAATGTTCCAATTTTTTAATTGAAGTGCTAAATAAAAAAAACATTATTAAAAATTAGGAACTTTCCCATTTTTTATTTACCTAAATCACCTAATGTACTCACCAAAATTATTTCTTAAAAATATTTGACATCCGCATTCGCATTCGCATCCTTGGATGTTAGCTTTTAAACATCCGCATTCGCATCCGCGGATGTCTAAAATTCCACATTCGCAACATCGCTAGTACATATGTACATACGAGCACAAATTAATTTCATTTAAAGAAATGGCGTGTCGTCCATTTCCGCTGTAGCGTAAATCGCGTACAGCGTCGGTTGAGAGGTAAATGTCGCCCTATGCACTATGCACTTTTTTATAGGATGATTGCAAAGCAAAGGTTTTATAGCAATGAATGGTGTCTGAACACACAACATTGCAACTTGATAAAGGCGTTGTAAAAAAGAGAAGTTGAAAATGTTTATCAAAGCGCACATGGGCTTGCTAAGCCTCCGTTTTCCATGAAGAAACTGTAATCATTTTAGCTAAGCACATTATTCGAAAAGTTCTCTATTTGAAAGTGCAACTCTTATCAACTTTTCAAAAAAAGGCTTATCCAAAAGTTGTAAAGTGATAAGTGATAAGCCGTTGGTGCAATTGGAACCTGGTCACATGTATTATGCACATCTTTTGGTAGGTTGTCTTGTGGTACTAAGGGATGCCGTGTTTACATTAGTATGTATACTAAACAATCCTCGACCATCCTCTAGCAAGTACCCAGATTTTTGTTCATATGGGCCAAATTGTGGCAAGAGTAGCTGAAAACGGTGTTAATGAATTTGTATAGGACTGCTATTCAGGGATGAAAAAGTAGGTACAATTGTGCCGTTTTTTCCGACGTTTGTTAACCTAAAGGTACATTAGGTACAATTACTAGATTTTAGGTACAATCATCTTTTGTGTAGATGAATTTTTATACCTTTCATGAGCATGAAATGGTATTATAACTTTGGTCCGATGTTTGTAAGTACCAGAACAAAAAGAGATAGACCCATGAAAATGTATACTTATATGATCAGAACGTCGAGCTGAGTTGATTTAGCCATGTCCGTCTGTCCGTCTGTCTGTCTGTTTGTATGCAATCTAGTCTCTCAGTTTTCGAGATATCCGGATCAAATTTGGTAGGTGGGTGTCTTTTTACAATGTATTAATCATTTGTCGGAACCGGAAGAATCGGACCACTATAACATATAGCTCCCATACAACTGATTGTTCAGATATGAGATTTTTCATTATAACTTCTCCATTTATGCAGCTACGAACATGAAATTTTGCAATACTTGCACCCATTATCAACAGAATTACATTGAAAATTACAAAGATCGGGTAACTATAACCTATAGCTCCCATACAACTGATTGTTCAGATATGAGATTTTTCGTTATAATTCATCCATTTCTGTAGCTAGGACCATGAAATTTCGCGCTGTTTTCACTCATTATCAACAGCGAAAATAACAAAGATCGGGTCACTATAACCTGCAGCCCCCATACAACTGATTGTTCAGATATGAGGTCTTTTATCATAACTACTCCATTTATGCAGCTAGGATCATGAAATTTCGCACCATTTACACTCATTATTAACAGAATACTTACAGTGAAAATAACAAGGATCGGATGACTACAACATATATCTTCCATACATCTGATTGTTCAGATATGGGATTTTACTGTAAAACTCCTTTATTTGAACAGCTAAAACCGATAAATTTCGTAAGATATTTTATAAATAAAAATACAAAGTCTACTGAGAAAATCGTCAAAATCTATGCTGTATAAGCTTTATCTCCTATAGCACTGATTGTTAAGATACCAGTTTTTGCCATATATCTCCTTTATGTACGAAACTAAACCCAATAAATTGTGTTACCGGTTTACATACCGATCACATAGCGGTGAAAATCACTTAGATTGGTGTCATATAAAGTATATCTTCCATAGCTCTGATTGTTTAGATGCGATTTTTTATACATATAAGTATGTAACTCCTCTATCGATGTATGCAGATGTATTCAAAAGCAGTAATCTGTCAAAGTAAAATTTGCAGATGTTCATGAAAGGTATGAAGCCTTCGGCATAGCCGAAGACAGCGCTGCTCTTACTTGTTTATTCTTATTTTCTTCTTTTTCCTTTACTGTGATAATATATTTACTTGTCTGCACGGGAAAAGTGGAGAAAAGTGGTCAAATGGAAGAAATCATGTTATGTATTCTCTTAAACATTTTCCATTGGATTTAGAACAGCCACTACGAAAAATTAACACCTTACTTAGCTATTCTAAAATTCTTAATTCTTGTTGTATTTTTTATATTTGAAATTGGAATTAATTTATTCTATAAAACGCCATAGCGCCCTAGACCGATGTACTCCCCTCTCGACTGACGGTGTGAGATCTACTAACGCTCTACCTTTTCAATTGTTGGAATGCATTTTTGAATCTATTGAAGCCATAAAAGCTCAAGTTCCCCGCATATCATAACATTTTTAACTTTTCTATTAATTTTATTCGCCCATACAGTCTTAGGTCTAGGATTTATTCAAATTTGAAATTTTCTGTAGTTGAGGGCCTCAAATTGAGGCAATAGCTATTTCAATTCCCATTATTTTCTCTAGACTTGCTGCAGCTATTAAAGGAAATTGGATAAATCAGTTGAATTTTCCTATTGTTTTATAAAAAGTTGGGAAAAAAGTAAACTTCACAGTGTTCAGTAGTCAAAGCTAGGCAAAAATAAAGCTTCTCCGATTCCCATTAGACTATACTATGGATGTAGATACAAGCTCAGCTAAAAAAATATAATCAAGTTTATTGAAAAACTACATATGAATACTTTAACTTTTTTAGGTACAGTCTGTCTCATTTAGGTGCATTTATTTTATGATATTAGGTACAATCTAAAATTTTTATTTTTCATCCCTGCTGTGATTGAATAAAATGGCTTATGCGGATTTTATATTCATATTTATTGAAAATAATAAAGCTAAAAAATATTTAATTTTTTAAGGAAATTTCCTGGTTTCTTGCTCCGACGCTTATTTCTCACTCACTTACCTTTTTCTGTAGGGAATAAGTCTGATGGTGCCTTAATATGAACATATTACGGGTCCTCACGTAAAGTGATAAAGGGATGAATTGCTTAAATTTATCAGTTTATCCGCATTCTTTCATGAATTGGTAAATAATTGCACAAAATTGTTTATTATTTAACTTAAATGGCTAGTTACGTTTCATTCTTACCTCCTCCATTTTGTTACTATGCTTTTTATGTATTCATAGGAAAATCCACCACCTGGCAGTCTGTCAGGGTTGAATTTTGCTGAAATTTATGCATTTATCCACCAACATGCTTTTTATGTGTTCGTAGTAAAATTGACCACCTGGCAGTCTGTCGGGGTTGAATTTTGCTGAAATTTATGCATTTATCCACCAACATCGTTTGATAAAGTGATAAACTCTGGTTAAATAGATTTCCATACAAAGTTTGACAGTTCATTTATCAAAATGATAAATTTATAATTTTATCAAGTTTATCAACAGTTTATCACTTTTGATGAATACCCTTATTACTGCGCTAGTGGAACAATGAGCCGAAATACCGAAAGTAGTGGGGTCGCAACAGGTTTCAGGCGGTTAAGGAGGATAAATCAGTATATTCCGCACTGTCCACAGCGTTGCCAGATCCCTGTTGGACTCTATTTCAAGTGCAGAAGTATTTTAGGACACATTCTTTACACCTATATTTGGAGTGAGACACTTTGAAGTAATCTGTGCGATACCAGTAGTGCAAGCATGACAGACACATACATATTCACTGACCCACTGACATTTTTCAGAATAAAAACTTGTTTATTAAAAATAATAGTTAAATCATAATAAAAACGTTGTTGGTGTACATATCAAGTCCTAAGAAGATGTTTTTGATTCCGTCTAGCTTAGAAGCTGTAGCCAAGTGGTGGGAGTACGAACGATGGCACATATTGGGAGTAAGCGGCCGAGGAACCATATCCTCCGCTGCTACTGGGCGAACTGCACCCTACTGGCGACAAGGAAGGCTGGCAACTGAAGAGATAATTTCTTGGGCATGGCGGCGCTGGGTACGAGGAAGATGCTGGGGCGGCGTATGCTGCAGCTACCGGAGCCGAGTACAATGGGGCGGCTGGGGATGCAGGTGCTGAGTAAGATGAGGCAGAGCCACCGTATGATGGGGCAGCTTGGGCGGCAGGTGTTGAGTAGGATGAGGAAGACCCACCGTATGAAGGAGCAGCGGGTGCTGCGGGCGCTGAGTAGGATGAGGAAGAACCACCATAAGATGGCGCTGTCGCTGGTGCTGGTACTGAGTAGGATGACGAAGAACCACCATAAGATGGCGCTGCAGCTGGAGCTGGGGCAGAGTAAGACGAGGAAGATCCACTGCTATAGCCTCCACCATAGGATGAGGACACCATGCCTTGTTTACTATCAGTCATTGCGCTGTTTACACCGGCAACCGCGATAACTACAAACATGACGAGGCTGATGAGGGAATTCATTTTCTAATCAGTTTATGGCTGGATCTTCTCTGTATGAAAGAACTGCTAGACTAATGATTTCCTCATTCGCAACCGCTTTTATGCAGGTCAAAAATGGAAATTAAATGCATGCGAAATTTCAGCAGTTCAAGTGAACGCCATGGAAAAGTGTTAACGCAGCTATTGTCTGTAAGTAGAGCAGCGTTGAGCGAAGCAGCGATGATGGGCGATGTTTATTTCGAAGTTGAAATTTTGTGCAGCCAGCAATTTACACCAATGCATGGAAGGTGTAATATAGCGACAATGAACTCAGTTTCGTAATTTGCCATCTACCTACAAATTTAGCAAAAACATTATTCCAAGTTATTTACACGTACATATACTTTTCCTGGACAAAAATATTCGGATTTTTATTTAAATGCTCGAAGTCAACGGCCTCTTTGCTTGTCTTTACTTATTACTAAGCTTAAATGTAATTGTTGTGTGTGCATACATACTTGAGACTGAATTCATTCAAAACGGCTTATAAATTATTCATATAAAAGTTGTAAACACATAAAGGGCTTGTGGTGTGCGGCATGCAGCCTGTCAAAATCAAATATGTGTAAACCATATGAACTGAACACCATGAACCAATTAAACAGATCACCCAGCACGGCAACCGTGTATTTGTAATTGCATTTGAGAAAAAATAAATAATTGATGACGTCATTTTTTAATCGGTTGTTTCATTCACACACATGGTTTCTTTCGCTTTTTTCTCGCAAGCCGTCCTGGGTGATCGTATTCGTTCGTTCATGCTGAACATAATCCACAACACAAGCCCAGGCTGTCGTGTGACTGCACTCCAAACAATTTCTATTTTCTGATTTGACAGGTGTGCTTCCATTTTGTATCAGTGTTGAGAAATGAAGTTGTTGCTTCAATACGAAATCTATACAAAAACTGTACTTCTTCATCTTGATACATTAGCTGTCCAATTCAAAACACACAACATGTTGTCTCAGATGATCAGAAAAATATTGCGATCATCTAACACGCAACTGTTTAGTTGATCAAAAGTACAAAACAATGCCTTCAGAAGGTGCAATCTCAACAGTTACTGAGCTGTTGCGCCTTCTGAACGTGTTCATCCATTCATTCACATTCTTCCATTTGAACGTAGAAAATATAAAACAAAATGTATCTTCATAACTTACAAAATTCCAAAAGCTGAGTGTTTTGTATGTGAAGTTCGAATCACTTTATTCGGTTTACAACCTTAAAAAAAATATATAATTTGAGTAATTTTGCATAATTCGAAGTTTTACAAGAATTATTGCTATTAACTTTTTTATACCCGAGCGCACTTGTGCACAAGGGTATTATAACTTTGTTCACATAACGGTTGTTTGTAACAGGCAAAACGAATCGAGATAGATATAGACAAATGTATACATAAATGATCAGAATGAAAAGAGAAATCGATTAAGCGGTGACTGTCTGTCCGTCCGTCCGTCCGTCCGTCCGTTCGTCCGTCTGTGCGCACGATAACTCGAGTAAAAATTGAGATATCTTAAGGAAACTTGGTACGTGAACTTCTTTTGGGCGTGGGACGGATGGTATTGAAAATGGGCGAAATCGGATAATAACCACGCCTACCTCCCATATAACGGTAATTTTAAGAAATACGAAAACTGCGATATTTTAGTCACTACTGAAGATAATTCACTCAAAATTGATACTTACAATGAGTTTCAGACGGAAAACATGAATATTATAAATTTTTGGAAAATGGGCGTAGCCACGCCCACTTATGGTTACATGTGTATATCTTGGTAACCGCTGCACCAATTTCTTCCAAACTTGGCACAGTTGTTGGCCTTAGTACAGCATACTAAATGGCTGAAAAGTTTAAAAATCGGACAATAACCACGCCTACCTCCCATATAACGGTAATTTTCAGAAAAACGAAAACTGCGATATTTTAGTAACTACTGAAGATAATTCACTCAAAATTGATATTTGCAATGAGTTTTAGACGAAAAATAAGAATATTACAAAATTTTGGCAAATGGGCGTAGCCACGCCCACTTATGGTTACATGTGTATATCTTGGTAACCGCTGCACCAATTTCTTCCAAACTTGGCACAGTTGTTGGTTCTGGTACAGCATACCAACTGGCCGAAAATTTCTAAAATCGGACAATAACCACGCCCACATCCCATATAACGGTAATTTCGAGAAATACAAAATCTTCGATAAATCAGTAAATATTGAAGCTAATTTATTCAAAATTGATGATTGCAACAATTCTTTACCAAGAAATACGTTTATGACAAAATTTTGGAAAATGGGCGTAGCACTGCCCACTTGTGATCACATATATGTATCTCGCTAACCGTTCTAGCAATTTGTACCAAGCTTGGTATGGTTATTGTGCTTGCCACATAAAAGCAAACCGTTGAAAATTGTTGAAATCGGACTAAAATTGAGGCCGCTTTTCATATAACGGTAAATTTCAGATATGCTTGAAATTTCAATATTTCGAAATTTAAGGACGCTAATTTACTTAAAATGTATACACCCCGGCTTATCATGTAGCGGAAGTTTTCGGAAAGGTGGAAAACATATATTTAATACTTGCGCCGGGTATTTAATGTTCGGCTCCGCCCGAACTTAGACTTTCTTACTTGTTTTTATGAATTTAGTTATAATTTATTATCCACTGATTCATAGCATGTATCTTGCTAATTTTTCCACGATAATAGTTAATTAGATACGCTTTAGCCTGGTTGTTTCAATTTTTTCAAATAATCATTATTTTACAATTTTTAATTTTTATAAAAAATTTTTATAAACAAACGGACATATTTATTACTTCTCGATAAGATTTTTTAATGGTTTACATTGAATATGAATCCTCATTTTATAATACATTATTTAAAAGAAAAAAAAAACACGGAAACTTGCACGGAGTCGTAGTTATTAATTTTTTTCGCTCCTGCCACGGGTGTTTTTGCTTTCATGCCGCGGGCCGCGCGGACTCGCAGCTAGCGTGGTGAAACTAAAGAATAAACATGGATTATTTAGTACAATATTTTTTAAAGTTGTATTCATAAATATGTACATACATAAAGGTTAAATTAGTGGTGACATACCACAACGCCATAGCCATAACCATTGCCATAACCACATTAACTATCATCGGTGATAGGTACCATAACCATAAACAGCTGATTTTTCACGCATCAAGAAGCGGAAAATGTTTAATATCGTAAATTAACACTAAATTCTTAAAACTCAACAGCAGATCATAAAAAAAAATGTACATCAAAGCAAAGGTAATAACTTTTACTTTCTTAATAATATAAATTTATTTTGCATTAATCACGAAATTTTGTTAAAAAACGTTACTTCATGAAAAAATACGAATTTTCTTTTCGTTTTTTAGTATTTATTAAAAATAAAATTATAATAAAGCATATAAATTAAAAATATAATTAAGCTTGTAAATAGACATCAACAGAAAGATAAATTAATAGTCTTTCTTTTGACACCATTAGTATTTGAATCGGTTATGGAGTTCATAAGATATTAATATTTCAAAAAATAAAAAAAATTGAATTTAACATTTTGTATCTTTTTTATTTTTGCGCCAAATAATTTTGGCACACTTGAAATCAGCGTGAAAAGTTCTATCGAGCCACACTTTTGGTTTTTGCATAGCTAAATGGTTCATATTCTACACTTATGCCAAAACTTTGGCTGTGAATAATATTTCTTTTTTTTAACCTCTGACAACACGCACTTTAGATATCAGCTGATATGGTTATGACAGAAACCAAAGTTCAATTGGTCTCTATGGCTATGGATATGGCTATGGCGTTATGGTGTGGCACCACTAATCGAATACAGTGTTTGACATAAGGTTGGTTTGAAAGCAATAATTGTATTTTATTTGCTCAAGCTAAACATTTGAAAGCATGTAGTTGGTAGTGGCTGAGCGTGCAGAGGAGTGTGCCGATATTTGTTTGCTTCGAGAATGTGCCGAATTCCGCCGGCGCTTCCAAATTTTATTTTATTTCTTTTGAATCATGAAAAAGAATCTGTAAAGTGCAGAAGGAAAGCCTATTGAACGAAAAATTCAATCAGACAAGTTTCAGAAAAAACAGCCGAAAACGTATCCGTTTCCCAAACTGTTGCCTGTACATACGTTCCTGCCGCACACTTTAGTGGGAAAACGGATTGTCAAAGTATCCGGAAATGGAATCAGTAAACGTACAAAAATCCGCACATCATCCACTTTTTTGTCCTTTCTCGGATCGGTCTTCGGATTTTTCGCTGGCTGGGAACATGCTTATTTATATATATGCATATGTATGTATTTATGTATGTACATATTAGAGCTACACGATTACATAAAAAGGTAACATGTTAATAATCGGCGATGCCGATGCGGCGAGTACACACCACTTAAGGCCTGTATGCAGCTCTCAAGAAAAGCAAAAACTCCATATAAAATGACGTACAAGAAATGGCTAGGAAATTTTCTTGAGTCAAATTTCCTTAAGACAGTACGCAGTTCTTAAGAAATTTACTACGCCTTCTACTACGGTTTTCTAAAGTTTTTTGTGAAAAAAGAGCACAAGGCAACCCAGGTTTGCAACAGAAATATATGCCCGTTCCATTATTTCTTGAGGAAAGAGTGAGGCAACAGGCTGTGAGGTATCAAAAATGTCAAAATTCCTTGGACACACACGCGAAATAATGGCAATTTTTTCTTGACCGTTTTCTTGAGAGCTGCATACAGGGCTTTAACTGGAAATTTAGCATCGCAGAATCGCCGCATCGTTGGCGTCGTTAGTAACGGTTTTGTTTTTTGCTTAAAAATTTATTTACTTGCTTTTATTACCGCATTCATGCGAATCCAAAAATTTCCGAATTTTCCAAGTGTAAGTAATTAGAAAATTTCACTAACAATCCCTTTAACTGGAAAAAGCGTCAAGAACTCTCTCTTGAAACCTTAGCTGAGATCATT